GGGGGGGCGGGGACGTCCGCAGTCTGCGAGGTTCTGAAGAAGCCCGCCGCAGGCACAACATTGTAAACCCATACAACGAGGCCGCCGCAGGCGCCGATTATTTGTTAAAACAAAGAGAAGCAAGAAGTATTGATATTGATAGTTTTCCAGATTTTCAAGTTTTCCTGTTCTCCCGCGCGGGCTCCGGGGACGAATGGTCGACCGCATTCCGTCGCGCAGGTCCTTTGCGTGATGTTCGTGGTGCATTTGATCGCGCATCGGAGCACCCTCGTAGATTCCAAGCTGTATGCTGTGTCGCTCTTGGGGGGTCCGCGAGTCGCAGCTGCCGTGGCGCTGTTTTCGAGTTGGCCCCTTCGAGTGCTGTTCGCGGGCGCAACGCGCGGCGCGCGCTTCGCCCAATCGCGCGCGGCGCGGCGCGTGAATCAGCCGGACATTATTTCTCGATTGTAGAATGTGCCAAAAATTCTTCAAAAAGGAACCCAGAAACTTTCCACATGCAAAAAAAACTTTTGAGGGGTGGAACGCGCCCGCCGCGCAGGACATCTGAAGAATTCTGAAATCCCGAATTTTTCAAAATGGATTCCAGAATTTTTCCAAACCGATCCCGGAAATTTTGGGGAAGGGCGATTCTGGTATGTTTTCAAAAGTAGGCCGGACGCGTTCAAAAACGCTTCCGGGTTTGATCAACTTTTACCCCGGAGAATTTCCCAGAGTCGCGCGTGATTTGTCTTGCCGGGTCTTTGAATTCCGCCGAGGCGCGCGGTCCGCGGCGGCGGGCGATGGGACGGCGCGCCACCGTCCCCCCCGCGTTCGGCAACGAAAAGGGGGGTCAGCAAACGCCAAATAGCCCCTTACGGGCGACCGCTCGATTGCGAATGGGTGACCGACCAGTTGCGCCAGCCAGAGTAGACAAAATCCGACGCAAAGTGCACCCCGCATGAAGGCTGTTAGAAATTCCGGAATCTCCAGAACGTATCAATAGCACGCCGTGTCAATATATTTTTCTCGTCCTAATGTAGGTGGGTCGCGGGTTGGGTCGCAGGTGGGTCGCGAGTGGGTCCATGGTGGGTCGCGGGTGGGTCGGGGGTGGGTCGCGGGTGGGTCGCGGGTGGGTCTCGGCTGGGTCGCGAGCGGGTCGCGGGTTGGGTCGCGGGTGGGTCGCGGGGTGGGTCGCGGGTGGGTCGCGGGCCGGGTCGCGCGGGGTCGACGACAACAAACAACAACAACAACAACAACAACAACAACAACAACAACAACAACAACAACACAAACAACAACAATAACAACAACAACAACAATCATTTAAGACCGGGGACACTCCGTTCTCACCAGTGCCAGGGTTTTCATAGGAGGCGGGCAATACCCCCACTTTGTGGGGGGGCCGGTTCAAGCTCTACCAAGTTTCCAAACGACTCTTCGCCACCACCCACACCCAGCTTCCCGCCCTATGACGTTCGGACACTTCACTTCGTGGCATGCGGACGACCGTGGCTACTATTCAGGGCCCCGCGGCCGACGACGACGGCGTGCGCGCGCGAAGAAAAAACGAATGTGTCCCGCATGGTATTATTTGACAGGGATGATGGCCCTGGCAGGCGCGCAACCTTTTGTTGCAGAAGTTCGAAGCACGCGAAAAAGTTGCTCGCAAGAGCCCGTTTGACAGAAATGTTCAAAAAGTACTGGGTTTCCTAAGAAATCCGCAAGAGCGCGCGGGGTGAATTTTTGAAACCCTTTTTTTGAAAAACCATTGGGTTTTTCATGTTTTTATTTGAAAAACGTTACGAAGACTAAGGTTTTGGAAGGATTTCGTCTTGCGCGCGCGAATGTGCACTTCGTCTCATTTGTTGCAAGGGATTCTTGAAGTTTGGTTATGTTAGAACAAGAAATGTCCACTTTGCCTCTTTTTTTTTTGCAAGGGAAAACCGATCGTAACAACACAACCGGATCCGGACACCCACGTTTTGCCTGAGACTTCCTCACGAAAATGATGAAAATGTGGCTGCGGCCTAGGCGCGGCGGGGGGGGCGCGCACCAGGGGCCCCAACAATAATTATTCTTTAAAATTAATAATGTTCAACAACAACAACAACAATTACTAGCACGTGGGGACACTCCGTTCTCACCAGTGCCAGGGTTTTCATAGGAGGCGGGCAATACCCCCACTTTGTGGGGGGGCCGGTTCAAGCTCTACCAAATTTCCAAACGACTCTTCGCCACCACCCACACCCAGCTTCCCGCCCTATGACGTTCGGACACTTCACTTCGTGGCATGCGGACGACCGTGGCTACTATTCAGGGCCCCGCGGCCGACGACGACGGCGTGCGCGCGCGAAGAAAAAACGAATGTGTCCCGCATGGTATTATTTGACAGGGATGATGGCCCTGGCAGGTGCGCAACCGTTGTTGCAGAAGTTCGAAAAAGTTGCTCGCAAAAGCCCGTTTGACAGAAATGTTTAAAAAGTGTTGGGTTTCCTACGAATCCGCAAGAGCGCGCGGGATGAAACGTTGACAATTTTTTTTTTAAAAAAAAAACCATTGGTTTTTGATGCTTTTATGTTAAAGTCGCTACGAAAACTAAGGTTTTGGAAGGATTTCGTCTTGCGCGCGCGAATGTCCACTTTACCTTTTTTTTTTGCAAGGGATTCTTGAAGTTTGGTTATGTTAGAACAAGAAATGTCAACTTTAGCTTATTTTTTGCAAGGGAAAACCGATCGTAACAACACAACCGGATCCGGACTCCCCCGTTTTGCCTGAGACTTCCTCACGAAAATGATGAAAATGTGGCTGCGGCCTAGGCGCGGCGGGGGGGTCGTGCACCAGGGGCCCCAACAATAATTATTCTTAAGAAGAAATAATGTTCAACAACAACAACAACAACCACAATCACAACCACCACAACAACAACAATAATAACAACACCAGCAACCGCAACAACAACAATAACAGCGCAACAACCATAATACTCCCCACATATCCTCACTTAAACCACGCATCCAGGGACAATGAATGACCGTTCGGCCCCCTCGTTCTGACATATGTATATGTACATATGCATATCCAGTCACACATGCGTATACACATACGTATACTTAAACACCTTACAAACACATATTCAATATTGTATATATATGTGTATGAAACACAACTACACATATGCATATGCACATGCATACGCATATACATTTACACGTACGTACGACTGCACCTATACCTATGCGTAAGCACAATTGTCCATATGCACATACACGCTCTCATGCACATGCAGGTGTATAGCGTGTATGCATTAGCATGATACCAGAGAAAAACATTCCTAGTATTTCCAGGGCAGCAAGACTACAGGGCTATATTGGCAATTCGGCTATTGGGTTATTGGGCTATAAACATACGGGGCTAAAAGGCTTCAGGGCTATAAGGCTATAGGGTTATAGGGCTATAGAGCTATTTTGCTATAGGGCTATAGGGCTATGTGTCTACAGGGCTATAGGGCGATAGAGCCCCCGGGCAACCGGGAACCCGGGCACCCCCGGGCACCCCAGGGCACCTCCAGGCACCCCTGGGCACCTCCGGGCACCTCCGGCCACCTAGCTTTGCAATAGGGCTAGGGCTATATAGGGCTATTGAGCTATAGGGCTCTAGAGCTATAGGCCTATGCTATAGAGGTGTAGGGCTATAGGGCACCCCCGGGCACGCCCGGGCACACCCGGGTCCCGGGCACCCCCGGGCACCCGGGCACCCGGGCGTGCAGCGAAAATCGGCGACAAACCTAACCTAACCATATGAATCCGCTAGGACCCTTACAGAGGCAAGCTGTGATTGGGGAATGAATCCGCTAGGACCCCTACAAAGGCGAGCTCTGATTGGGGAGCATACAGTTGCACATACCACGTGACGGGGTCGGGGGGGCTCTCCCAGGGACTCGCTCTCCATGGGGTGCCAGGCCTCCGTTGGGCCGTTTTCTGGGCGGCTCCCTGAGCGTTCCCCGCACCCTCCCTCGGCTCCCAGGGTTCTCCAGGATGGCGATGAACCTGCCAAACTGAGCCGTTACACGTCCATGACGCCTTCCAGACGGCCCAACGGGCCCCCACACGCACGATCAGGCCCCGAAGATGAGCCCCAAGGGGCCAACAATGGTGTTTCCCCCCATGCTTGTTGAAGGTTGTCCTCGTTCCCGCCCTGCTCGCGCTGTCTGCACTCCAAGACGGCCCGGTTGGCCTCAAGGTAGCCTCAAGGTAATCCCAAAGGGGCCCCTAATACAGTCCGCCGAACCCCGTCACAACGGGTTCCCCCGCACCGCCCCTGGGCTCCTAGCGGTTCCTAGGATTTCGACTTCAAAGATAGCCCCGGCTTCGGGATCGCTCAAATATATTTGTACAGTGTGTGCGTCCCCCCCCATGGGCGATGCGCGCGCGCTAAGAAGTCTGCTGGTGCATACGCGGTGGCGGGCGCTATCTGGCCATACCTTCTGGGTAACCATACACTGTAGGTCGGCGGCGAGCGAAGGAGGGAAGCGTGAGAAAGGAGGAGGCTCGTCAGAAGGCGGCGGGGCCTCTCGGAAGTACTCCGGCCTTCTCAGAACTCGCCCGTGTCTTCGGGGAAGGCTTCGAAAACTTCGCAGAAGGCCGGAGGACGCCCGAGCCTTCGAGAAGGCCCGCCCCCCCTCGCTTCCCCCCCCCGGGGCGCGCTGCCGAGCGAGATGTTTGCACCATACGTTCGGTTCGGATGTGCGCCCCCAAGGGTTGCGCATAGCAGCAGTGCTATGATGTCCCAACCCGCTTTAGCCTTGGCCACCAGAAAAAAAAAAAACGAGCAACAAGAAAGTGCCGAAACTTGGAGATTTTCACATGTCGGGCCCTGGGAGGCGATGCTCGCTCGACGCCGTTCCGACACTGTTCTGGGTGCTCGAAGGCATGGTTCTGGGAGATTTGTTCTCTTAAGTGCGATGGGGGCAACGGAGCATTGGTATGTCCTCCTGCGTCCCACGACCCGGCCCCGCCCGCCAGGCCTCCCTCGGAATGCCCGCCGGCGTGCTGGGCGGCCCCCAGGAGCCTCGCCGTCGCCGCCGCCGCGGCGGGGGGGGGGAGGCATTCGCCCCCATCGCCCTCTTTGAGGAGGCTCCAGGGGGCGGGGAGGGGGAGAGGAGGGGAGAGGAGGGGGAAAGGGAGGGAGAGGGAGAGAGAGAGGAGGAGAAGGAGTTGGAGGAGGAGGAGGAGGAGGAGGAGGAGGAGGAGGAGGAGGAGGAAGGGAAAGAGGAAGGAAAGGAGGACCAGGGGAGCACGCGTAGGAGGCGGATGAGGAGGAGGAGGAGGATCCAGCAGTCACGAGTCGTTATGGTCTGCCGACTGGCCTATCCACAAGGGTACTGATTACATTACGTGGCTTCTGTTTGTTGTATGTTGTTAGAATATATCCAGCCGAGGCAGTTTTGCTGTACGGCATCGGTTGTATGATATGTGGTCAGTGTTTCCTATGAGGGCGTCATCCTGCTCTGAGACATCCCATGATAGCTTTCATGGGAGTGCCAGAGCGGTCGTCCCCTGTTCAAGAGGAGGGAGCAAGAGGACGGTTCGGAGGAGGACGAGGACGCGGACGAGGACGGGGAGGGAGGAGGTGAGAGGACAAAGGAAAAGAGTGAAGGAGGATAGAAGAAGGGGAAGAGGAATAATAATCATGAGAAGAAGGAGGAGAAGAAGAAGAAGATGTGTGCCCCCTCGTCGCTCTCTTCCCGGAGAGGGGAGGAGGGCCGCTTCAGGACTTGCTTGGATTGGGCCCGGGACGGCGAGGTGCCCCCGCCTGTCCCGCCGCCGCAGGTTGGAGCCCTTCCGCCCCGCAGGACGAGGACGGCGAGGGTGACATTGACGACGATAACAGCGACGAGGACGAGGACCCAGGCTAGGACTAGGACGACGACGGCGAGGACGAGGACCGCGAAGACCAGGACCAGGGCGATGACGAGAAGCAGGCTGGATAAAGGCCAAAGCAGAGGAGGAGGAGGAGGAGGAGGACGGAGGAGGACGGAGAAGGGATGATCATGAGGAGGAGGATTGGCACGTCATCTCTGGCGAGGCAGGGAGAGGCGCGGGCGGGCTGCGACGCGGGGGAGTTGTCACAGGCGGTAGCCCCCGTCTCGGAGACCCCCGCAGCAGCCGGAAAGCAGTACGTCGACCCCCCCCCCCCCTCATCGGTGGACCATAGGGAACGGGTACGCCGAGCGGGGGTCGACATTTTGGCCACGGGGAGCTGCTCCCGCCCCCCACGGCCTGGGCTATTCACCAGGGCCAGCAGAATTCGGAGGGGGCCAGGACGAGGATCAAAATCCCCTCCAGGGCGTCCCAGGACGCTTTCGGAGTCTCAGAGCGTTTCCAGAACGCTTTGAGAAGGCCGCGTCGCCCCAGACAGCTTCCAGAGCCGCCAGATCCCCAAGATTCTCGATCTATCTTCACCCGAATTATCACGAACGAACAACACACACCCATACCCATAGGAGGGTCGGAGGGAGGAGGACTGGCTATGGGTATGGGTGCGGGTTGTCGGACCCTGGGGGAGGCCCCCTTTTCGAGCGGGGACCCCCATCCGACACCGCGCACCCGTAAGTCGGGCCTGTCCCTCTACAGGAGGAATGTTCAAAAATAGTCGGAAAAAAACAGTTTGGGAGTGATTTGTTGTTGTCATTCGAGCATTACCAGGACCATCAACCTTCGGTCGGGCATGTTCCCCTACAGGCGCATTTTGGACGAAAAACTCAAAAACATCGACAAAAATGCTCAAACCAAGTCCACCATGTCTTTTAAACAAATCGTCCCCATATGATTGTTTGATTATTTGTGCATGCCTGTACGACCATCTTCGGGTGATAAGGAGGTTGTGGGGGGGAAGGGGGGGGAACCAACATCTGACTCAATCGATCTCACTATCGATCTCACTCAACAGGACAACACGGGACACTTGTCGATCTCATTATCGATCTCATTCAACGGGACACCACGGGACACCCCGGGACACCGCGGGACACCTCTCGATCTCACTATCGGTCTCACCCAACGGGACACCATAGGACACCACGGGACACTTCGGGAGACACATTTGATCTCACGATCGATCTCACGATCTATCTCACTCAACGGGGCACCACGGGACAACACGGGAGACTTATCGATCTCACGATCGATCTCACTATCGATCTCATTTTTGGGGACACCACGGGACACCTCGGTGTACCACATCGATCTCAGTATCGATCTCACAATCGGTCTCACTATCGATCTCATTCAACGGGACACCACGGGACGATTGTTGATCTTACTATCGATCTTACTATCGATGTCACTCAAAGGGCCACCACGGGACCCCGCTAGGGCCACCGCCGGACGGAGGAAAATCATTTGTCTTGACTTCGCCCTAGCAACGGCGGACACCGCGGGACACCACGGGACACCGCTCGGGCCACCGCCAGACGGAGGAAAATCATTTGTCTTGACTTCGCTCTAGCAACGGCGGGGTCATTCCTCTCGCGCGCCCACGCAGCTTCGCCTCGCACGCACGACACGAACGAAACGAAACGATTTCTCGGCTGGGGGTCTCCGTTCCACTGCGATCTCACCCCCCAACTTCCGATTCCTCCTGTAGAGGGACACGCCCGACTTGACACCAACCCCTCGAGCCCGACTAATCGCTTAGCCCCTCCGCCGGGGAGCGGCCTTCTGAGCCGCTGCGCAGCTTGAGGGCCCCCTCCTTGCCTATGGGCGGTCCTGCCGTCGAGTCCCTGCTCGTCGCCCCGGCCTCTGAGCAAACAGTCGCGACGGAGGTTCTTCGCTAATTTCAGCCTCTGGGGGCCCCTGCCGGGCCTCGGGACGGTCAGAAAACGACCCAGGATGAAAAACCAGTCCCGGGGAATGCGTCGAGACCTCGGGGGGCCGACGTTATTACAAAAATCATGACGTTGGGAGTCTGGGACACGCGCAGGCATGGGGCCGGCAACATCACTGCCATAATCATTGCAGCCAACTTGGACACCAAGCTAGGCCCCCAACCCCGCTGCAGGGCACAGCATGGACCTGGACAGGAGCGGTCCCAGACTTTTTTTTTCCCAACCATCCTGTGGTGTTGGGTCTTCGTTTTGAAGAGACAGCGCCCCGCGTTCCTCCTCTCCTCCTCCCCTCCTCCCCCTCCTCCCTCCCCCTCCTTGCCTCTGCCCTCCGCATGTCTCTCTGTCGGCACACCCCTCACACGTTTCGTGGCCCCATAGGGAGCTCCAACTACGGTTCCAGAGGCGCAGCTCGCATGGCGCCATCGCCCCATTTTGGCACACCCCTCACACGTTTCGTGGCCCCATAGGGAGCTCCACCCCAGGTCCCAGTGGCGCAGTTCGCATGGCATCCCCGCCCCATCTTGGCACATGTTTTACACGCTTCGTGGCCCCATAAGGAGCTCCACCGAAGGTCCCAGCCAGTGGCGCAGCTGGCATGGCGGCACCCGCCCCACTTTGGCCAACCCCTCACACGTTTCGTGGCCCCATTGGGAGCTCCACCGAAAGTCCCAGTCGCGCAGCTCGCATGGCGGCCCCGCCTCATTTTGGCACATGTTTTACACGGTTCGTGGCCCCAGAAGGAGTTCCACCGGAGGTCCCAGTGGCGCAGCTGACATGGCGGCCCCGCCCCATTTTGGCAGACTCCTCACACGTTTCGTGGCCCCATAGGGAGCTCCATTTAAGGTCCCAGTGGCAGAACTCGCATGGCGGCCCCGCCCCATCTTTGCACATGTTTCACACGCTTCGTGGCCCCATAAGGAGCTCCACCGAAGGTCCCAGTGGCGGAGCTTGCATGGCGGCCTCGCCCCAGGGTGGCACACGCTCACACGCTTCGTGGCCCCATAAGGATTTCCACCGAACGTCCCAGTGGCGGAGCTGGCATGGCGGCCCCGCCCCATTTTGGCAGACTCCTCACACGCTTCGTGGCCCCATAGGGAGCTCCACTTAAGGTCCCAGTGGCGCAGCTGGCATGGCGGCCCCGCCCCATTGTGGCACACCTCTCACACGTTCCGTGGCCCGATCGGGGTGCTCCACCGAAGGTCCCAGTGGCGCAGCTCGCATGGCGGCCCCGCTCCATTTTGGCATACCCCTCACACGCTTCGTGGCCCATAAGGAGCTCCACCGAAGGTCCCAGTGGCGGAACTCGCATGGCGGCCTCGCTCCAGTTTGGCACACCCCTCACACGTCGCGTGGCCTCATAAGGCGCTCCACCGAGGGCCCCAGTGGCGCAGCTCGGGTGGCGGCCGTGGCCCCATTGGGCCATACGGAACTCCACCTAAGGTCACAATGGCGCAGTTCGCATGGCGGCCCAGTGGCGGAGTCTGCATGGCGGCGAGTTTCGACTTTTGGAGGTTTTCAGTGTCTTCGGCGCATGGAGGCCGCTTTCGGGCCCCAGGCGTGATCCTGGACTGCGGCCGCCACGAGGCGGGGAACGGCAAGAAGGAGGACGACGATTGGTGGCTGGAGAGCGCTGCTCTCGTGCGCCACGCGCCACGAGGACCTCCTGCTCACGCGGGCGCCGCGCATCGAGTTCTTCCTGGCAGGGCCGCTGGAGGGCTTGCGGAAGCAGCTGGAGCAGTTTGCGGCGCGCGCGAAGCGGCGCAGAACGGAGGCGACGACCCTCGCCAGGGAGCTGGGCTTCACCGAATTTATCCGCGAGGCTTGATGAGGAGCGGCCCGCCCGAGACTCGCCGTCTCTAGACGGTCTGACTGTTTGGCCTCGCGCCGCGGGCGACCCGCGCGCGTCGCTGGGACCCTCGCTGGGCGACCAGCGCGCGTCGCGGGAATTCCGCGCTGCGCTCCGCCCAGAGCCTCGCTCGACCCCGTCGTCGCTCGGCCGGGCGGCCGCAGCCTTGCCCGCTATCGGCCAGCCAGCTAGCCCTCTCTGCTCCGCGCAGCGGACGACCCGCGCGCGTCGCCGGGACCCCTTCGAAGCGACCGGCGCGCGTCGCGTGGGCCCCGCGCGGCGCCGCGCCCGCGGTCATGGACATCGGCGCGCGCGGGCAAAAGGGCAGAAGAAGAACGGGAAGGAAGCGGGCGCGATCCTCTTGAGGCGCGCGCCGACATGGGCGTCGACATTCATGCGCGTAGACTGATTCGCGCGCAGACTCATTCACAATCAGATTCACCCGCGCTCATGTTCACCCGTTCTCAGTCTCTCGCGCTCAGACCGACCGTGCGCACTCGGATTATGGACCCCGCCACGCATTTCGGCGCGCCCCCTCGCGCGGTTCGTGGCGCCTTACGGAGCGCGAGCGAAGATGATATTCACAACTGCGGCGCTCGCAACTGCATGTGGCTGGGCCCCTCGCCAGGCGAAGTTCGTCAGCGGCGAGGCGGCGAAGTCCGCGCCAGCGTAAAGGTTTGGTAGCTCTACAGTCAAAAACCCGAATAAGGACGCGCGACCTTGCTCAGGGTACCCTTGCGTCCTTGCTCTTCCTTGCTCTTGCGCCCTTGAGGTTTTCGTCGTCCGCCGCCCCAGAAATCCCAACTTCGGCTTCCAAGGGTCTTGCGTCCTTACCGCGCGTCTTGATTAGGGCTTGCGGGTGTAACTAGCGAGTTGGCCGGCGCGCAAGGAGGGAGGGGGGAGGCCGACGAGAGGAAGGAGGCACGCCCAGATGCCGACGAGTTCGACGATGAGCGGCCGGCGGGCAGCAGCAGCCAGGCGCGCAGGGCCTTGGGCGCGGCGGGCGGCCGTGGAGCACCACGACGGCAAAGGGCGGCGGGGAGCGGGAACCAGCCCGGGGCTGGGGGAACGCAGAGCGGTCCCGGACATGCGACGTCTTGCTTTTTTCCCTACCTAGGCTCTGCCTAGAAGGGTTCTTACTCTCTTAGCTAAAGGGGCTGGGCACTGGAAACCGCCCCGGGCG